AGCCAACAGAGGTAACTCACAGCCCACTGTTCCACCGGATCTCGCTTCTTCCAGGGGGCCTCCTCTTCTCGGGCCATCTCCACAGCTCATCTGAGCCAGCTAGCCCACCCTCTTGGGACATTCCAAAAAACCAAACTCACTACCACTGAGCCAATTCCGACATACAGCGATTGTGCAGGTCAGGGTAGAACTACCCTGTGGGTTTCCAAGACATTAACTGTCTGTGGGAATAGAAAGCCTCATCTTTCTCCTGAAGAGCCGCTGGTGGTTTCGAACTGCACTCCTTGCGGTTAACAGCACATCATGTAACCACTACACCACTGGGGCTCCTCCAGAAGTGGTGGGAGCTGGAGGTGAATCCTGCACAGCTGAGCTGGGTGTTCACTAAGCCTCACTTTTCTCTCATGTAAAATGATAGTACCTCCCTCACTGGGCTGCTCTGGGGCTCAGGAACATATCCGGCTTAGAGTACAGAGCCTGACCAGAAGCAAGCCCACTGCCACTGCGTCCACTCTGACTCATAGGCCCTGTGCAGGGTTGTTGAGGGCATGCATCCTTACAGTAGCAGGCACCTCCTCCTCCTCCAGCCGCGTGACTAGTGGATTTGAACTACCGATGCTGGGTTTAACAGCCCAATGTTTCCCCAATCACAACAACACATTAAACAACAGAAAGGGTACTGGGTCCAACAGAGTGGACAGTCCTTGATCGAGTCCAGCCCTCAACTTTCCTGCTCAGGGTCACCCAGCACACAGGATGGAAACTCTGCTTCCTTTGTTCTTTTCCCTGCATTGGGAACTCACTCTCCGTTAATTAGTCAACATTATCCATCAAGACAGTCAATGGCAAGTGAGGACTTCTCTTGGGTGTATGCTACATCAAAAACGCCACAAAGATCATTGTAATTTATTATCACATCAACAGGGCAGGAGCCATCACCTAAAATTTAGGAAGGTTGGCCTTTCAGAGGTTTGAGCTGGGCACCATCTAGTTCTTCCTGACTGCTGGTCGTGAGGCTGCGGGTTCGTGCAGACTGTTGGTCCCAGGTAGCCCCACACTTGTACCTTCTTAGGGCCCTTGGATTCCTTTCTCTTTTGCTCTAGACCAGTGATTCTTAACCCTCCTAATGCCATGACCCTTTAACACAGTTTGCCATGTGGATGGACCCGCCTGGAGATGGATAGAGGAGCGGTGTCTCGGTTCCTAAGACCATTGGAAAGATGGTCTTAGGCGACCCTTGTGAAAGGGTCCTTCAACCCCCAAAGGAGTCGCAACCTCCAGGTTGAGAACCGCTGCTCTAGATAGATTGACGGCACCAGTGGTTCTAAGATGACCACTCAGAGCTCTTAAGACCCCAGACACCACTCACTGAAGTAGATCTCGAACAGTGTCTTCATGAGCTATTTTATACCAATGGACGAGTTGCCCACTGAGCCAATCCTGTTTCACAGTAGAGATGGTACAAAATGCTCCCCTAGTTTTCCTGGCATGAAGTTCCAGGAATAAAGGGATAATGGGTTATATAATTGCCCCTTCTAAAAAATATTTTCACAAGCTATCCAAGTAATGTCCTAGATGTTCTGGGGAAATGAGACTGAAATCATATCCCCTCTGTAAGTGACTGGGCCCAGCCACACTAGACGAGGACTGAGGTCGTCACCCGCTCGCACCTACTTGCCAACTATGCTTGGATGAGACCGTGTATGGGCTTCAACCGAGTGCTGTCCACTCTTCCCATTCGACTTGGGTGTCAAATCAGAGTGCGTGTATACAAACACACGGAGTCGCAGGCTGAGACCAGTGGGATTTATTGGCAACTCAAGTATCATGATCAGCCTAGGTGCCGATAATTTTCCAAAGTCTTGAAGTTGATACCGTTTCATTGCACCTCGATCTGCACCATAGTGATAATCCTGGAAGATTCACCAAGTCTTCAAGTTACACGTCAATCAGAGTTTGAGCCTAAAACAGCACCAGTTGCCACCAAGCCCATTCAGACCCTAATTGAACGACCAGAGCCGCGCTCCTTAGGGCTTTCACCGCTGTGACCTTGGGGAAGCAGGTCGCCAGGCCTTCCTTCTGAGGCACTTCTGGGTGGCTTGGAACCACCAACCCCATGGTGAGGAGCCATGCACTTAGCTCTTTGCATCACACAGGGATTACTTCTTGAGCTGAGTCCTAGACTCAGATAGCTAGAGCCAGCTGTTTTGTCCTCTTGACTAGCCAGGGGGACCCTTGAACACTGTACGGGCTGCAGAACCACCCATGGTCATATAAG